TAACACTGCAGACAAACGAACCCAGACACAAGCAAAAACATCACTTTTCTCCTTCATAAAGAGTCTATTAAGTGTTCATCCGCGGATAATTAGATACATAAGTACAAAGTAGAAAATATTAGTAGATACTCAGTGTTTTGTTTTGAATTTATAGATGTTAGACCTTTAATAATTTGGCATATGTAATACATGTGTACACCACACTTTCATTAAATACTGGGCTTTTTTTTGTTTGTTTGTTTAATTAAAGGAATCATGATGACCAACTTTTTTAAAAATAGTTTAACTTCTATGACAGTTCATTTTGAGAAGTTTCTAAAAAAAAAAAATCTTGAGGACAGAAAGAACTCATATTTAAACGTGAAGTATAAATATGTAATTTATTAATAACATGTTTTTTAATGTTTTGGCAGCCCTCTTATGTAAAGCCCTAACTGACACCTTGCATCATGCAGTGCCGCACTACTATTTACTCATTATCACAGTCTTTCTTCGAACACTGCATCTGTCTGTTCTCTGACATTTAAACTTAATTCCCTAGAGAGAATTAAGTTTGTCAGGCTCCACATTACAGTATAATCAGAGCATGATGGTTATAATGGTGGCTGTCCCCCTGATCCACCTATTTGGCATGAAATCAAAGTCCCATCCAGGTGTTTGGTATGATGTCAGCCATCTGTGTGTGTGTACCAATAAACAGATGTGGGGCACAGATGACAGATAATCTCTCCACACAGAGATTTTCCACTCAGCTGAGTGGAGCCGTATTTTTCCCGTTTTTAGAGACAGTCCTAATTACATCATTGACAGTTTCAGACCAGTACATTCATAATTTACAGGATGTGTGAATTCTCTGTGTTTCCATAAACACCATTTTAATAGGAAATCATTCCTATAATCTACAGCATTGGTTCTCAAACTTTTGATAACATGTTCCACTTCAGAAAAATACCAGGCTCAAGTACTACTTATTATAAGAAACATTAAAATACTGGTACAAGCCCATATCCTTAAATTGATATCTGACATTAATGAGCACATTGGCCAAAGCCCTAACACTAACCCCAGTGGTAGAGTGTGCTCTAAGATGTGATGTTTCCAAGCATTCATTAATGAAAACATCACCACATACACACTCTACAGTCCTGACTCTTCCTTTGCTCTACAGGAACTGAATACAAATTAGAGATATTTTAAATCAAATTTCCACACTGTTTTGCATCCTTTGCTGCAAACAGTTCATATATTTCACTGGCACCTCTTATAGTCACTCGGTGATTAACCAATGTCTACAGCGGTTCCACAGGGGTCCTCAAAATATTCTGAAGTGCTTATTTGCTTCCAGTACTTTTCACTTGGAGTCAAGATTGATATTAAATTGAACCACACATGTTTTTGTCTATCTCATCTTATCAGCTTTACATCACTGTCCTACGTATGATGGGTATATATTTAACTTGTAAATAATTGATAGCAAAGTTTCTTGTGATAATCACCATTCACCAGTGATATTTATGGCATTTTGAATGGAAATATGGTCACCCATTCCAGTGTTTCCCTTACCATTATACAGGCGGGGTGCCCCACCCCGCCAACAAAACTGAGCACCCCGCCTACCAAACTGAACTTGCCCCTCCCACCCCCACCCGGCACTGACATATCACTAAGGTAGCAGCGCAAAATACAGGCTCTCTAGCTAAAAAGCCAAAGGCAGCACTCACATTGCCTCTTCCCTCATGTTGAATGCCCCCCACCCCCGCTCAAACTGTTAGTACAAGCTGCGCTCAGACATGTCTCCGTCCCCCCCATCAGCAAAAATCATGGATGAGATGAGCACCCCGCCATGGCAAGCTAACTAGGGGAAACACTGCATTCTTCTGTTTGGCATGACATACTTTAGTATAGGTAATCAAAGTAGAGTATAGGATAGAACAGCATACAGGAATTTGTACTGTAGTGAAACTTAGTGTAGTGTAGTATATTATAGTATAGTGTAGTGTAGTGTAGTATAGTATAGTATAGTATAGTATAGTATAGTATAGTATAGTATAGTATAGTATAGTATAGTATAGTATAGTATAGTATAGTATAGTATAGTATAGTATAGTGGGAGTGGTGACGCAGAGGTTAGTGAATGTGGGCCTGTAATTGGAAGATCAGTGGTTCAACTCCCGATACCGGCAACATCAAAATGTGGGTGGGAAAGGTGAAGCGCCCATACCTGCCTCCACCCTCATGTGCCCCACTCTGGGCCCTTGAGCAAGGCCCTTAACCCCCACCATCTGCTCCCCCGAGCACCCCAGATAGCATCTCTCTGCTCCACACAGAGGTCTATGGTAGCTCAGTGGTCTATGGTTGCATCAGGAAGGACATCTGGCGTAAAAATAATTGTCAAGTCTTCATGTGAGTTAGTTCACCGTGGAGACCCCTGAAGAAGGGAGAAGCCGAAAAAAAAAAAAAAAAAAAATAGTATAGTGTAGTGTAGTGTAGTGTAGTGTAGTGTAGTATAGTGTAGTATAGTGTAGTACAGTATAGGGTAGTGTAGTATAGTATAGTGTTGTTTAGTATAGTATAGTACAGTGTTGTATAGTATAGTGTAGTATAGTATAGTGTAGTATAGTAGTATAGTATTGTGTAGTATAGTATAGTGTTGTATAGTATAGTGTAGTATAGTAGTATAGTATAGTGTAGTATAGTAGTATAGCATAGTGTTGTCAGTAAAAATTTTGAATTATTTTTATTCTATTTAAATGCAATAAGAATGTAAAAGGGGAGTGGTGGCGCAGAGGTTAGAGAAGGTGGGCCTGTGATTGGAAGATCGCCAGTTCAAGCCCCGGTACTGACAACATCAAAAATGTGGGTGGGGTAGATGAAGCAACCACACCTGCCCCCACCCTCATTTGCCCCACTCTGGGCCCTTGTGCAAGGCCCTTAACCCCCACCATGTGCTCCTCCGGGTGTCCTCGTTAGCAGCTCTCTGCTCCACACAGAGGGCTGTGGTAGCTCGGTGGTCTGTGGTTGCGTCAGGAAGAGTATCTGGTATAAAAATAATTACCAAGTCTTCGTGACACTTAGTTCGCTGTGACGACCCTTAATGCAGTGAGCAGCCGAAAGAAGAAGAAGAAAATAAGTAAATAACTCATGAAACGTAGTCGCAAAGTTGCATCCAGTTATTTAAAAGACAAATTTTAAAATTAAAAAAGAACAAATACAGGAAATTTGTTGTTATTATTATAAATGATTTGCTTAACTATTTATTTAAATTTAATTATTTACTTCTAAAGCTCTCAACAACCTAGCTCCATCTTATATTACAGATCTTATTGTTCCATATTGTCCTAACAGAGCACTTCGCTCACAGACTGCAGGTTTACACGTGGTACTTAAAGTTTTCAGAAGCAGAATGGGAGGAAGATCTTTCACTTATCAGGCTCCTCTCTTGTGGAACCAACTTCCAGTTTCTGTCCGTGAGGCTGACACATTGTCCAGTTTTAAGACTTTCCTTTTTGATAAATCCTATAGAGTTAGTTTGGTTTCCTGACCTATCCCTTATCCTATAGGCTTAAACTACTGGAAGACAAATTGACCAAATTTCATCAAATGACTAGTTACAAATTAATACAAATGATTAAATTGTATTTGTACGTTCTTTTATCTTAACGTGTTGTTTTTTGTCTTTCCTCCTGAAGGACCTGCCCACCTGCTCGTCTCCATTCTGGACCTGCCATTGTGTATCTGTTCCTCCTTCCTGTCCTCTCATACCCAGCCAATCAAAGCAGATGGCCGCTTGTTCTGAGCCTGGTTCTGCTGGAGGTTTCTTCCTGTTAAAAGGGAGTTTTTTCCTTTCCACTGTTGCCTTTGCGCTTGCTCAGGATGGGAGTAAGGGACAACTTCTACGGACCTTCAGCTCGGACAACTTCGGTTGTGACTAGGTGCTATATAAATAAACTGAATTTAATTTAATTATTATCACTGAATTCTCCTTATAGGGTACAAAAAATATAGGCAAGAATAGCTTGATGTATTTGATGGC